CATTCATTTTGAACATGATAGAACTACATACTGTAAGATATGCTACATTAGAAAACACAAAAGAATTTTCAAAAACTAAATAACTTTGGATTTCACTTCTAACAGAGCTTATTCAACACTGTCTAAATGCACACTTGCTGGAGCAGCAAAAGGTTTGGAAATGAACTAGAGCATGTCTGACATAGCCTTTTTGTCTCATTCAGAGATACCCACCCAAGAAGTGTCAATGAGTATTTATTTTCGAACTTCGCTATGAGTTCCTTCGATCACACACCGTAGATTATATACAATGCTCTCCTGAGCAATGTCAATGTGCGCATTCACCAACGGGTAGCAATTCTACTCAAACGAAAGTTCATCAAACAACGTCTGCAAATGTTGCCTTTCGTAATTGCAAAATTAACAACGCACATTGCATCAGGAGCGTCAAAAAGCACATACGTCAATGCTTTTTCGAAGGTATTACGACATGCTACTGAGCCTACAATTACATGTCCGGGAACAGAGTGCACATGTGTAGAGGTGGGCCGATGTCAGACTTTGCGAATCGAGCTGTGTACTAGCGGATCGAACGACGTACCAGCGACTCAACACTGTTTGAAAGTGGCGGGACTCCCTCTCGTTTGCATGTTGACTCGCCACTTTCCCGAGCTCTCATACCCTCTCACTCTCTCATGCCCTCGTGAGCCCGGGAAAGTGGCGAGAGCCAACGTTCAAAGGAAGTCTGCCACTTTCAAACAGTGTCGAGTCGCTGGTACATCGTTCGATCCGCTGGTACATCGTTCGATCCGCTGGTGCAACGCTCGTACCCTGCGCTTCGCTGGCGAATCACCGAATTCGCAAAATCTGACATCTGGCCTATGGTTTCGATGATGTTATCAATTATAAGTTTCGCTATGTCGTCAACAGTGGTTTTGCCGGAGGTTTCAAGTTCACCATGAACCGTTCTCGTTCGCAGCAATTCGACGGGATTAGTTCACAGTGGATCTCAAACAGGTCTCAGAGATATTGATTTTCGCAAGATTTCCTGAATTATACTCAACGAATGCTAACTGAGGCGATAAAAGCGAAACAATGCTTATTGGTTTAATAAGATTGAAGAAACATTTGAGATGATAATCCCAACGTTGAATGCTGTAATGTACTCTACAAGTTATACGGTATATCATATGAAATGTGCAGTACCTCTGGAGTTTGTTCAATTCGTACACCAGGACTGTCGGCCTCAGAGGAAGATAGTGTTGCAGTAGTGGAATGAAGAAAACTCTTAAAAGGCAGAAATGGTGATGAAAGCCACGAATGAATCTAAACGACACTTACAGAGGAGGTAGGATGTGACCGAAGCGATTGCAGGTCAAGGGTTGAACGAACACCACTACATTCAGGGATAAGCGTATGACGACGAGACGGGAAGCGTTTCATTTGCTTCAGGAATTTCTGCAGGAAATGTGTGAGAGAACAGTGGGAAAAGTGAGAAACAGTTTCAAGAGTGCCTTACCATGTCGATATCACGATAAACTAGAGGTACTCCTCCTGGACAAAACTCCGATTTTTCGTCAACAAAATCCTTCGACATAGACGACGAATCGAATTCTGGCGGAAGAGAAGAGCACCTTCGCCGGAATACCCCAAAATGAGGGCTGAAAATAGTTTGTTGATAGTGGTAAGTGTTAGTACTGGAACACAGCACACAATAACCGCACGGGGCAAACTATACCTCTGTGGGGAAAAATGGATATTGTCTCCTCCCAAGCAATTACCATCGGAAAGACCACGTTCGGGTTTTGTTTCGCTTCGCCGGCGATTTCCTTTCCTGGGAAGAATCTTCCTCTCTTTGCGAAACCGTTCGTGATCCAGGAATGGATTCGTGTGATCCAAAGTTGGTTCATCTCGTGCTACGTCGCGTGCAAGTCTTTCCATTGCTAGGAAAGAGCTTTCCAGTTCTGTGGACTCGCCTTAAATTATTCATCATTATTGTTAATACCGTTGTCTTTAAAGGTTGGTAAATGAAAGCGATGTATTTTCGAAGGCCTGAGCTTTGAAAGTAAGTTTGCCCTTCAGTCTTGGATTGCAAAGCAACTGCGACAGAAATCACTCTCACACAAAAAAGCAACGCATTGTGGGGCAGTAGATTTCTAGCCTCCCATAAATAGCGGTCGGGCCTCTGGCGATAAGACTGCCACCAAACCTTGGGGTGGCAAAATGCTCCCGCCAAGCACTACAAACTGCTCACAGAACGAATCAATGTACCGACGTTAGAATCCTTCGAATAGAAATGAACCAACAGTCAACGTGAATATGTGTTAAGTTTGAACATAAAAAAAAACAATTGCACATGCCTTCTATAATCGGGCGCACAGTCTTGGAGTAATTGCTGGACATCTTCCTTGCGGCCATGACAGCTGCTGCCGGTTTCTTCAGAGCGGCATCAGAACGCGATCGGGATAATCTACTTTCTCCACGAGCTGGAATTGGAAAAAAATTGAAGAAAATTTAGATTAACTGGAGCATGATTTCTCATAAAATAAAAAATTATCACGAAAGTTTACGAGTCGCCCAAACTATCTTTATTACTCTTCAGTTCTCGGTGTTGGATCGTCATACAGAGAAGAATTTTTACGATCACGATGTTAATGAGAGGAATAGCGTTGTTACCGTCCCGCTTCCTTCCCCCGCTCGAGAGCTACTACTGAAATAATGAATAAGACACATCACTGGGACCATTCGATCCGTACCGACCCTGGACATGGAAAGGCGACGCTACCACAATTGTGTAGGATCCATGTTGCCGCGATCATATGCATGTACGGTTCAAAACAGACAAAAGACAATGGCCCCATCCCCGGTGGAAAAGTGACAAACCCATGACGAGAACAGATGAGTGTTCTTGACTCTGAAGCTAGAAATATATTGTTTTTGAATATATTGTTACGGTCGACGAACTT